CCCCCTCCCCCAAAGTTTACTAGCAATTTCTGAGTGAAAGGTTTCTCTACACCCATTTCTTTTCAGTGCACCTTAAATATGTGAGTGTATATAATATATAATCTTTTTTTAATTCCCCTGTTTGGTCACACTTTAATTTAAGGTCCAGTTCTCACTGTTAACTATTAACTACGACTTTTGCCTCAATAAACTCCTAATTTGCTGTATATTAATAGTAAGTCTTGTTAAGTTTAGGAATGGAGTAGGATTAAAAGATCTAAAATATGGTCATGCAGAATATGTGCTTTATAATTACTAATAACTATAATTATAATTACTATAATAACTAACAAACAGCCAATATGCTAGTAATATGCATGCTAGTTAATAGTGAGAATTGGTCCTTAAAATAAAGTGTTGCCTTTTTTTTTTAACAACTGACCTGAGGCACAATGTTCTCTACATACAATATTAAAATGACAAAAATAAAAATTAGAATGAGTTCCAAAAGTCTGAGACTAGTGAAAATGCTATAAGTTTCATGCTAAATGATATAAGTTTCAGATTTAGGCGTGGCAAAATGGCTTGATAGCGCCACCTATACACTTTCAACGAAGTGCCCCTCGAGCTACGTTTCACGTACGAAATTCGGTACACACATGTAACACACCAATACCTACAAAAAGTCTTCTAGTGCAAAATCCGAAACCCAACAGGACGTCAGTTATTTTTAATTTTATGCACATTTTGTTCCGTTTTTGCCATTTCAGGCGTTGTATTTTAATGAACTCCTCCTAGAGATTTAATCAGATAGACACCAGATTTGGTCAGTCTAATCTAAAGCCCTTTGCGATGTTAAGTTACAAAGATCTTGAGTTTTCACTAAAGGGCGTGTCACTCTGTGGTGGCCTGACAAAGTTCGATGTTTCGCCATGGAAAAGGAAGTTGTTGTTACTCGGCCATACAATGTTCACATGTTTGATAAGAGTGCTGGCCTGAACACAATCACAGCCACTTGCTGGCTACAGGAAATTACTTATTTTACACCAACTTAAACATGCAATGTCCGATCTGCCCTAAATGTCTTGTTTGATAAGAATCCTGGCCTGAAGACATCTACATGCCCATATTCAGTTGTAGTCATAGCGTCACCAGCTGACAGCAGGAAATTTGGCACATAGAAATCCTCCAATATAAACCACTTTAAATGCATATTGCCCACCTTTCACTGTTTTCCTGAGGGCACCGGGTGGAGGTGGCTCCGGGTGCGAGGGCCCTTTCAACACTGCTTGCAGCTTTAATTCTAATGTATTTTTTATGTCAGATGATAACATTAAGGCAATAATCTTTATGTACTGACTCCATACCACACCCATACATAATCCTAAATACCCTGTTCATAAACATTTAAATAATCACAGCAGTGCAAATAAGCCTTCTAAGCTATATGTATTAGGAACCCTGGAACGAATGCACTGGTTATGATGCAATATTGTGTAAATCTGTGCTTGTGTATGCATTCTCCCTGTTGCATTTCAAGAGAAACAGATCGGTGACAGACCAGATGTCATTAATGGCTTAGCGAGGTCATTCAGCACATCTGGCACAGAAGTTTATCTGGGCTGCTGCCTGTCCAGATCAGAAACAATAGATGAGTTTTATTACAGGTCAGAAGATATTTGTTGTTCACTATATTAAAAGAGAACAAGGTTTTGGATAGTTATGACAGAAGGTATTGTCAGCATGCTTACTGCACAGAGGTTCATCATGGAGCAGATGTTTCTTAACAGCAGCACAGGCTTAGCAGATCAGCTAGAGAAGGGTGAGTTAAGCAGGTTTGCCGTGGAGTTCATGGAAATGCGTGATCAGCTGATGATGTTAAAGGGATTAGTGGACTGCAGGATTTGATTATATTTATTATTATATTTTTTCCCCCAGCGATCTCTGCCTTTAATGCCATTTTCAGGCCATATAGTGCAATATATAAGTGCCAATAATCTGTGTCAATATTGAGATTATTGGTCTAATGCAGAATGTCCTCCAGTGTAGAACCCCACTTAAACAGATGTTTCACTTTTTATTTTATACTTTACACTTTGTATTAAACTGAAAAGTCATGGATGGAACATCTCACACAGGTCATTTACTTCATAAGATATTTCAAAAATGTTTTTTTTTGTGTGTGTTTCCACATAGGAAAAAATCTAAAAATACATTTTTGGCTGAATTATTTCTTCAAATAAAAAAAAGTATATTGAAATAGCATTATTTTATTTAAAAAAATGTTATAATAATTTTATAATAAATTTATTAAAATAAAAATATCGTCCATTCATATACATATAGCCTATTTTCATAGACACACACACACACACACACACACATATATATATTAAACTGAAAATGTTCATAGTAGCATTACTGATATATGTATATATATATATATATATATATATATTTTTTTTTTAATCACACATTCTTTTCTATTACTCTTATTTGTAAGTAACTTTGGTAAAAGTTGCCACTGTATGAATTCATGTAAATGTTGATTGAACTTGCATGCGGAAATGACAGGCAGCTTATGGCAGACTATTTCTTTCATAATATTTACTCATGCAGTGTGCTTTCTATTTAAAATGTCTGTTTATGAGTATGTACAGACACACACTGATGCACTACAGCATTAGAGAGAGGATAGACTGCGGTCCCATCCTCTGATGACATTTGTCATTTTCACTGATGAGCTTAACTAAAGACTAGATGATCAAATGACAGTAATATCAGGCCACACACACACACACACTAATGCAAAATTAATAACAGTCCGAGAGGGTTTTTAACTTGGTTTTATGCCAAAAGTTCAAGTATGCATGTCCAATGAAAGACACAATTTAATTCCGAACATATATCAGACATGCACCGAAATATTGTTACATAATACTGATATATGACAATATTATCATTTACAGAGTTTAAGGAAGATTCAGTGTTTGATGTCATGTAACAATAAAGCAAAACAAAGTGGCACTCAAAGAGTAAGATAAATATACACAAACAAAGAGGTATAAAATAATGTCCTCATATGCATAATACCGTCGCCAGTGACTCTGATGCAGATGTTTTGTCTTTAGAGTGATTTTCAGGTCTTCTTCAATGTCTCGGGTGCATTCTCAATTTTTAGACATCATTCTGACAAACTCTAAAGAAGAAAGATGAAAAAGACCAAAGTTTTAACTCAAAGCTGATATACTGTCAGATTAAGTCTTAGTATCCAGTCCATAACTATCAGATGTTACTAAGCAACAGTGACTGCCTAAAATGCATTATTTATATCTTTGGTTCAAAGATTCCCAACAGTCAGCATCATGTTTACATTTTAGAAGAATTAATTATTGTTATGAATTCTTATTATTATCAATATTATTTTATATTACCTTTATACGTTTGGGGTAATCCAGTTAAATTAGAGATTAAAATCTCTTTTCCAAGAGAGACCTGGCCAAAATATTAATCTAGAAAATGGTTTCTGATATGTGGAAACATTTATATTTTTGTAAAACACTGTAATGTGAAAATATTATATTATATTATTATAATAATATTAATATAATATTTTATTCCTTTTTTAAAGAATTAATCTTTTAAAAATAAACAATACTAATATGGTGTGAAAAATATATTTATAAAACGGATAGTTCCGGTCCTTGATTCTGATTGGTTGAGCCAAGTTCTAAGCTGTTGTAAATTACTCTACAAACATACACCTTTGTTTACTTCTAATATTATAAATAATATTAATATAATATTTTATTCCTTTTTTAAAGAATTAATCTTTTAAAAATAAACAATACTAATATGGTGTGAAAAATATATTTATAAAACGGATAGTTCCGGTCCTTGATTCTGATTGGTCTGTAAACCACGGCTTCTTGGGGCTTATTGCTTTAATCTGCTTAATATCTTATGTCATTTAGTTTTTATTTAAATTAAATCTATTTAATTTATAAAAATACATTTTTTAAAACAAGAATACTGAGGGGCAAATATAAAACACGTGTATTTTTACTATTATCAGGGTTCAGAATGAGCACGTTCTTGACTTCTCAGTTGATTCGTGTCATTGGAGGTTCCTGTGAGACACATGAAAGCATGTTTGAGCTAAACTGATCACTCTATACAGCCATGACCCATTGTTTCCTCTGGGCCAACTGGGAATGAAACAGCGCAGGTGTATAGGGTGTTGGATAACTTACAGTCTTGTTTAATTACTGAAACACCTCCACTGCTCCGACATCAATATATTAAAGAACGTTCAGCTTTGGTAATTATGGAATAAGGTCAATCTAGCAGGATGGTGTCTAAAGATCCCTTTCCACATATGGAAAAGTACTTTAGATCTGTTTGTGATACAGATGTGTGGCAGTGCTAAACTAGAACAGAGTGTGAAGATGATCCTGTGTGACTACTAATATGTTCAAAGGGACAGTTCACCCCAAAATGAAAATTCTGTCATCATTTACTCATTCTCAAGTTGTTCCAAACCTGTATGGAACATAAAAGAAGATACTGTGAGGAATTGTTGGTAACCAAACAGTTGTTGGTAGCCATCCACTTCCATAGTAGAAGGAGAAAAATATGAAGTCAATGGCTACCGTCGACTATTAGGTCACCAACACTCTTCGAAATATCTTCTGTTGTGTTCAGCAAAAGAAATAAACTCATACAGGTTTGGAACAACATGAGGGTGAGTAAATTACGACAATGGGTCAACAGAAGAATGCTGTCTACATTATTTGATTAAATATGGATCTATTTTACCCTCAAAATCAACGGTCCCGTCTCCATTGTTGTCTGCTTCTCGGACCACTGCTTCTATTTCCTTCCTGTTTGTATTTTCACCAAGCAGTTTTAGCATTGCATTCTTTAGTTCTTCGATGGTGATAGTGCCGTCGCCATCCATATCAAACTACACAAAAATATAAACAGATTACATTCAAATATTACACTAAGTTGTGCCTTTTATTTGAAATATGTTTTTAAAATTGAAAGAAAAAGGCAAATTTTCTTACCTCTCTTAATGCATCTTTTAACTCTTTCAGTCCGATCATTCCAGCCGTTTCTGCCAGCAGCTTTGGGGCCATGAGGTCAACAAAATCCTCAAAATCTGCACTTCCTCCAACTGAAAAATAGGCAGATAAAGAACAAAGATTAGGAAAAAAATCCATGTGATCAACAGATGATAAATAAATAAATGAAACTTCCATGGATTAAGAGAATAATCTACAGTGTTTCAGCCAGAGTGATGAACGGACATTAGCACAAAATACATTGACTGGAGCATCAAATCACAAAACAGCTGCTAGCACATAATGAGAGAGACATAAGATGTCTTACGGTTCATGTTGATGTTCTGGCTAAGTTCAAGCAGTTCCATCTCAGTGGGCATGTAGCCCATCGTCCTCATCAGGTTGCCCAGATCTTTACAGCTGATCAGACCATCCTTATCCTTATCAAACTCAGCAAACGCCTCGCGTAGCTCTGCAACACACACAGAACATTGAATTAACAGGGTTCTAAATGACCACCCCTCCAGTTGCATAAACTTAGCCACCATGTTAAGACTGTTTCTTAAGAACTAGCAGCTGCCAAGGGGTAATCAGTCTTAATTTTCCAATACAAATAAGACCAATCAACCTTTTCATAACTGAATTAAAAAAGTTATGACCAGATAAATATATTGAAAATCTGGGAGTTTTTTTTTTTCATTTGAACCTAAAAATATATATATATATTTTTTTATTATTAAAAAAAAATTCAAGCTAAGAATGACAGAAGCTATGATGACATACAATAAAGAAGTATTTTAGATTCTTCACTATATCTGGGTCACTAATCAACAGTGTTGGGGGTGATGCATTACCAGTAACGCGAGTTACGTAATCAGATTGCTTTTTTTCAAGTAACTAGTAAAGTAACGCATTACTTTTTAATTTACAAGAAAATATCTAAGTTACTTTTTCAAAAAAGTAATGCCAGTTACTTTGTTTTCCCATTTATTGACTGACAAGTCTCCTGTCTCCATACTGGGAAAAATCAGAAGTGCAGAGGAGTTGTGTGCGCTGTGTGAACATGATGTTACTGTAGTTCTAGACTAAATGTGAATGTGCATTAATTC